ATCCATGCTGGTCGCAAACGCACTATGTTGGTTTTGTCGTGACGCGGCTCATTGGTGTTTTCCAATATCCGACTTTGTGATCTTTAAATAATTTAAGTAGATGTCATTCTGACATTCTTAAATGTTTCCATTAATATATGTACTATTAAATACAACAGAATGAATCTTCTAAAGTCGGTTCTTGGGAAATGCTCTTTCAGATCTAACGAGATGTTTCACTGACACTTTAAGTATCATTGCTCTATAGGGGATTTTTTTCTTCTTTTCAGAATACATACAGTAATGTTAAGAAAACATGATTATGTTCTTTCAACAAATGGTTCAGTAAAACTGATAAAAGAGCATGCTTGTTCGTTTTTGTTTTGTCTTGGGTTGTTTTTTTTTTTGTTATTTTTGTTTGTTATTGTTGTTGTTGTAATACAGGCAGTAGCTTGATGTTGTTTTAGTAACGAAACTGATTACGTTCGACTTATGCTAACATATATTTATCAAGTTGTAATCTATATGTATTTGTCAGTATCAAAATAATAAAATATCTTCTATTTCACCATCGCTTCTGATTGCTAATAACTACGCTAGATTATTGAACTGTAACGGTAAATACATTTTTTTTTTTAATTTACTTGTCCATCATTCATTTTTGACGACACCATACATCAGTAAGACAGTAAGATTTTTTAAAACATGTAGTCACTGACAGGCACAAGCAGGCACAAACAGGCTAAGGAATAATTTATCTTGACATATATATGCCCGTAATAGAATGCTTATCTCATATATTAACAACTTAAAATTAAACTAAGTCCTCAAATGGTTACGCCTCGGGTAACAATATTTTATCCGGGATGATATTTTTTACTGTTACCCACAAACCCATGTGTTATTTATATAATATTTTACAAAAAAGTAATGTTTGAAATTATTAAATCAAATAGCAATCACCCTAGTCTATGTATACCAATTTTTAATTGCATATGCAACAAATGAAGCCCGTGCATTGTAACACGGCACTTTGGGGTCCAACGCACTTTGGGGTCGACCCCAGAGTGCATTACGCACTTTGGGGTCCAATTTCGACCCAAAAGTGCGCTAAACAGGTACATAGGCATCTTTTAATATCAGACAAACGACCACACTTTGGAGTCTTAAAAAATGAATTTTCATTATGTTTAAATTAATACAATGTAGTCAAAGCCAATGGTAAACAATAATCAAGGTATTAAATAGACGCGAAACATGTGCCCTCAATTATAGTAGAATCATTAGGGGTTTAAATGATCTTGACCATTAAGTGAATAAGGAATTTGTATCAATAAATAAGCTCAAAATATATATTTCTTCTCAAATTTTCCATTTATATTAAAAGAATGTACACTTTTCATTAACTCTATTGTTTTTAGTTAATTGCATTATTTTCCCATTTTTTAATTCACACATTTTATAGAAATATGAAAGTCTTACCATAGACAAAGGTATAAATTCTGAAATATTCTGAATGCCTGATAATCTTGAGAAAGGGCCATTTATTTAGCTTATCTAAATGTGACATTTAAGAAACTTGACTAGTTGTAGATGGGGTCTAAAGTAGTAGTAGACCGTACAGGCAATAAAACTATTTTAGTATATAGTCACACATTAAGAGCGGAACTTCATAAAAATGTAATGTTCGCATTGAAGGATCTAGAGGGGATGGTGGGGTGTGGATCCCACCGAGATTATAAAAATTACGCTTTAAGGGCCCATTATGCTTTTATTTGTATTTCTTAAAAGCTTTTTTGGTGTACTTCTATAGTATCAAAAAAGTTGCTCATTGGCCATCTTTTTCATCTGTTGCTTTTTGGCAATGAGTACAGTTATAGTGAATTAGTATTTTATAGTGAAATACATTACTACATTGTTTACATTTTGCTCCTTTTATGACAAATTATTTCACATTTATCGCTACTTTATTCAGGTAACAAGCATCTTACATTTCTCTGATATCATTATTTAAACATTATAAAATTCATGTTTACCCTTTCTAAAGAAGTATACATGTAAGATTTCCCATTAAGAAAGCCTCTGGCGAACGGCTGTTACGTAGCTTAAAGAAAACTGTGTTGATAAGCTTAATAATGTATTTGTAAAAATCACTATTTATAGTCCGATCGAGAAACTTGATATTTCACCAGAACATTGCAATAGAGTATATTTATAGTTCTTTCTGGAAAAAATATTAACTGCATTTTATTTCATCCCCATCATATTCAAAATGGGGCTGAATACGGCACCAAAGTTATCAAGTAAATGACTGACAGAAGGTGATTTTTTGCAGCATATTTTAGGAATACATCCACAATTTATGAACACAATTTTTAGATATTTCAAGTGGTAAAATTAATGAATCTTTTATTACTTAAGCATCAAACAAAGTATCGACCGCCATCTTGAACTCCACCTCAAATATTTCAATGTCGCAGATCGAAAATAAGTCAGTACTCAGTATTTAAGCAGAACTTCAAACCTCAGGAACCCAAAGTGCGTTGAAATGTAGCATATTAACGCACTTTGGGGTCAATTTCTCAATTTTTACCCCTAAGTGCGTTTGACCCCAAAGTGCGGTGTTACAAGGCATTATGTGTTGTAATACCGATTTTTTAAAAATCATTGATTATATGTATAAACGTCACGTGATTTATTTCTTTTAAAAGTTTATTTTATTAAGACACATGTGGAATTGACTTACAATCAATGTGAAATAATTCTAGAATGGTTAAAGTGTCCTTACAATACATGTGTTGTCTCCCTTTTGATAAATACTTTGATATCTTAAATATCTTTACATTGATAAAAACTATATGTTTGATTTATACTTAATATCTAAATTGGATATGACTATATATAGAACTATGTGTAATCACGGCCGGGCGCAGATTTACAAAAAAAGAACAGAACGTTTTCAAAATCCTATGTGTTGGAAAAGGATATATAATAAAAGTCTTCAAATCTTCTGCAAATACGCATCTGGACATTATGATAACTTAAAATGGCTTTTGACGCTTCGCTTACACGCATAACAACCGAGCATCCTTCTTGTATTAATAACATTTTTGCGTATATAATTTATGTTATATTTGAATGCATCTATTTTCAAATGATACCACGATCATATGTTAAAGCATTTAAAAATTGGAACTGTGTTTTTTTTTTCTGTTGAGGAAGTGGATTTCAAAGGCTTGAGATAGAAAATTGTAAACTATTTGCTATTTTGTTAAATTTAACAACATCGTTTGAAAGCAATCTTATGTAAAAGAAGCTTACTGCACAATGTTGAATATTAAGTAAACATAACAATGTTTATCAAAGCAACATGATGGGTTGATTTCTTTAATTGTTGCGCACTCTTAATTTGACTTTGAGCAGTTACATTACGATATGTACTAAAACACCTGTCTGGGCTTACGTAGAAAAAATAGCCCATTTCCTCTGCTATCATTCGCGGTACCCTGGGGCACCGGGACCAGGGTTCAAGACTACTGGTGCATGTAGATGTAATATGACAATTGTTTAACTCGACTTAATGTAACAGAGTTTAATTACGTAGTTAATGATACACTTTGTGGCTTCAAAAAATGAATCACAATACAAAAAACATAAAACAAAACGATAACAACGTGCACTTAACATCTTATTAGTATGCTGAGAGCATAATTAACATTTTAACGATCCAATTCAGTTTATCTAAATTAAATATTAAGTAAAGATCCGTCTTTTCGTAATGAAATTTGATTTAATCTTCAATTGTGTACCTACATTATCAATAGTTGCACTGAATATCTTCAAATAACACTACCACATTAATGGATTCAAGTTCAACTTTTTACTTTTTCTAGTTTGGTTTGAGGCCGTACAGCTATTATAGAAACCGTTTGTTGTTTAATATGTACAAAAGAATATTATTCATGACGTGATTGTACGCATATATTTGTAGTGACTGATTTTTTTCCATACAAAAAATGCCTAACTTATGCCCCAGAGTTATAACTGTAGTCATCAATTTAACATTCATTATGTATACATATTGATGTTTCATCTGGATTTTATTGCTTATGTTGTTCTAGTTTTAGTTTTCATCAATTTGAGATTTATAATTTCTCTTTTGGGGGACTACGGTCAACAGGTAGAGAGAGAGAGAGAGAGCACAGGATGAGCAGTAATGCAAAGGTTCCTGCCAGGCCAAATTTATATGGGATACGTATATACGTACAAGCTAAACTTTTTGAATGCTTTCGTGCGTGCTTGCGTGCCTGTGTGCCTGTGTACGTGCGTGTGTGTATGTGTGTGTGTTTGTGTGAATTTTAACTTAGAAATACATCATTAACACTCAAAACGCTTTTAGTTTTATGATAAAAGTATTTAGCATGTGCATTTCAATTTATTTATAATCAAGTTCATTTTTCAGTAAAAAATTTGAAACTGTATTGAATTATGATTTTTCAGTTTGAACCCTTTTTTATTTCATTATAAGTTATTATGACTGGTGTTACCATTAATAATAATAGTAATAATGATGATGATGCTGATGATAGTGATGGTGATGATGATGGTGTTGATAATGATATGAAAAAAAAAAATAATAATAATAATACTAATAAAATAATAATAATAATAATAATAATAATAATAATAATAAAAATAATTATAATAATAATAATGATAATAGAATAATAAAAATAATAAAAATTATTATCTAATAATAATAATAATAATAACAGTAATAAAAATAATAATAATAAAAATAATAATAATAATAATAATAATAATAATAATAATAATAATAATAAAATAAAAATAATAGAATAATAATAATGATTAAAAAATAATAATAAAAATAATAATAATAATAATAAAAATAATAATAATTATTATTATAATAATTATAAAAGTAATAATAATAATAAATAAATAAATAGATAATAACAATAATAATAATAATAAAAATAATAATGATAATAGTAAAAATGATGTTGTTCTTGTCAGATTTGTCAGAAGATGATCATATCAATATTAATGTGAAATATATCTGACCTTGTAAAAAGTAAAAAGCTATCATTTTTCATAATAATACAATCAAATTGTTTTCTCCTTAAATCTATGTCCTGATTTAAATGAATGTACGTAAATAAACCGGCTAACAAGCAGACGACACTGATACCCGCAATTTAACTAAATGTTAATCTATAAATAGCAATAATGTCATATCCATACATAAATCAAGTTTTGTATATTAAATCAGTCAAGAGTATATATCTATTATCTACTTATATTTAACTTTCAAGGATAGGCTGTATCAAGTGGACAGTGGAATTTCCGAAGTCAAATTCAATACGTTATTTTTAAATACACATCACAAAATCCCTCCTTTGATCTATTTTTGTTCGCGAGATTTGAAGCTAATGTAAAATAATCTATATTTTGTTGCAGTAATTAGTCAAATGGAACATGTATATTATTAAGTGTATATATTATATACATTGTAATGTTAAAGATATTCAGCTAATATGTGTGTGTGTGGCGGGGATCCGGCGGGTTGGGGTGGGGTGACGGTGACGGGTTATTTACTTACTTATCACTTACTTAACTAGTAATCCTAACATTTTACATACATTGTACCAACAACAAATGGGTCATTTTAATACATCACCGGTCTAAACCACTATTTAACTTTCAAACTTTTGATTTCCAAAAATACTAAACTCTTGTTAGAGTTGCAAATGGTGAATGAAAATCCTATTGTCCGGATATATCGCCTGCGTCACTTTAGGATTTATGGTTAACCAGAATTGTCTATTGAAGTTAGAATTTCTGTATCTTAGTTAGAATTGCCTAACATTTTTTCAATGGTTAGACAGATTATTATAAATAACATAAGTTAAATAGAAATTCCAGTTACTTTTTCACAATCGTGTACAGATTGTTAGAATAACCAACAGTTTACAATGTTTTAGAATTGTCTGTGGCTTGTTAGCAACTTGGCAATCCTCTGCAGCATGTCTTTTATTTGTAACGATTTCTTCGTCTTCTTACCTTCTTCTGTTAAAAAACGTCGGAAACGATCTTTCTTCAACTCACTGACTAGCTGTTTAAAGTTCTTTAAGAACACCTCTTCTTGTTTTGCGTTCTGAAAAAATATCCTGTTCTCGAAAAGATCATGTCCAAGTACAAAGTGAGGTAATTCGTGCCTCTTGAAACATTTATATGTATACTCGAGCATCTCGGTCAAACATGGCTGCATTTCCGGTCCGTCTGCTTCACAATGATCGATATGACGCAGAACAACTGACTTCATGAAGTAAGTTGACAAGATTGTATTCTCTAGCGCGTAATTTTTAAACACTTTGATCATTTTATAAGCGTCCCTGTGTTTTTGATGCGTTGACGTCATTGATTGCACTTCGCTTGCACAGTAAGATATTCTCCAACATGTTGGGTGTTGTTTAGGACACAATTTTGGCACCAGGAAAAACTCATCAGGCTCTTGAACATTATTAGGAAATTTTGGAAAATTGCACTCAAATAATTCTGGAATTCTTGATCGCGAAAACTGAAATCCCGGAATAAAATCGGCCATTATTTTGATTTCATTTGGACTCGTTTCGACAATGTCGATTTCTTTTGATATTTTTGGTTTAATTAATGTTTGACTGTTGCTGTGCCATTTCATAATAATTGGTTTAAGAAAGCTCTTAGTTTCATCCTCCAATCCTTCAAATTCTAGCCACCCAGAGCCTGTGTCAACTCGAAACGTTGCGCATGAATTAGATGTTTGATCACTGCAACAGACGACGTCACTACATTTGACGTCACAACCACAAGCGTGAACTGTACAGTTTGTATTCTTCTTGCATATATCTTCCAGGATATTTGAAATCACACTGTTATGCTCATTTACAACCTCGTCTGCTCTTAACTCTTCTTCTGTCATGGTATATTTCCCATCATCGCCTCTGGCCGTTTTGAAATTCAAAAGTTTTAAATGACCAGGACAGCCGTAGCCAACATGTTGTGCTTCGTAACGATACTGCAATAACACAAGAAAATCAAATTCGATCATTGGACCCTGCTGGTTCTCCCAGATTCTGGTCTTTTCCACCATACTACCACCTGGTACGAACTTTGTTATAACAAACCTTCCATTCCGATTGTTATAACAGCCAATAAGCCTTGTCAGAAGTATTTGGACTGCTTTGGATATATCCTCTATTTCCGGCTGACTGTAGTTGATAAACACGTGTTTCTCGTGCATCAAATCGTATAGTTTGTCCATTGCTGGTACCATGTCACGTGCACCGGTTCCATCTTTTTGCTGAAGTTAAGAAACATTTTATGACATATAATGATAATAATGACGGCAGTGTTTGTTGTTGTTGTGATGGTGTTGATGAAAAAAAGTAGTAGTAGAAAATATGGTTATAATAAATCACAACAATTACAACACACAGTACAGTAGCAACAATAATAGTAATAAAAAAAAAGATTTTTTATAGCAAAACGCTGACGATGACGTATTCTTATGACGTAGACTTATTCCAGTTCGAGCTTCCGCAGATGTTAATGCTCGAAAAGAGGTGAATAAATTTTCTACAAAATTCTAAAAATAGATAAGCGCTTCTTCGAGATTTCCCTACTTAATAAAAAAAAATTTAAATTGAAAAAGAAGTCTGATTAAAACTCAACACTAATAAAACAGTGATTGAATAAGTTTACATGTAAAAGCTAACAAGTTATAATAAAGATATTTTTACATCAATTTTCAAATTGTTTATACTTAAAATAATTAAAATACTTACAATTTTAGAACATGCCATTTTTGAAAGACATAAAACACATTGTAGACCGTTTACATATCAAACAAACAATAAATAACTAATTAACAATAATTCTTTATATTAAACTCATAATTTATGGAAAACCGATTTCACTGAAATTTTCACTGAAAATTTAGGTTATTTCGCAATTTGTTGTAAGTATTATTTTCATATTGAAAATACCCCGGGTACGTTTACTGAATATTTATAGTAATTACTATACCAGTTTTCTAATTTTACTCCTGTGATAAAGTTATATTATGTTGATAACAGGTGTACTACTAACCGTTTAAATTTTAAACCGTGCTAACAACAATATCGTATGAACTGACAAGAACATGGTATGAACTGGAAACGATGGTATTAGTGGAACATTTTGGTATGAACAATACAATATAGTATGAACTGACAACAATATGGTATGAACTGACAACATAATGGTTTAAAGAGACAACAATATGGTATTCATTGACAACAAAATGGTATAAACTGACAACAATATGATATGAACTGACAACAATATGATATGAACTGACAACCTAATGGTATAAACTGACAACAATATGATATGAACTGACAACAATATGATATGAACTGACAACCTAATGGTATAAACTGACAACAATATGATATGAACTGACAACAATATGATATGACCTGACAACCTAATGGTTTAAACTGACAACAATATGGTATTCACTGACAACAATACGGTATGAACTGGCAACGATATGGTATGAACTGACAACAAAATGGTATAAACTGGCAACAATATGGCATGAACTGAAAACCTAATGGTTTAAACTGGCAACGATATGGTATGAACTGACAACAAAATGGTTTAAACTGGCAACGATATGGCATGACCTGACAACCTAATGGTTTAAACTGGCAACGATATGGCATGAACTGACAACAAAATGGTTTAAACTGGCAACGATATGGTATGCATTGACAACAATATGGTATTCAAACAAACAGCCTATAAGCTGTTGGAGTGATGCCATTTCGACGCATGTTTTCAAGTATAAATTGTTTAAATTAAATAATAGAAATTATATACAGGTTAAGTTGTGCAACTATTATGAGAAATATATATTTTTATCTGGGTATAAACAGTGAAACTAAAACAAAATTCTTTTCGAACTGAAAAAAAAATGAAAAAAATTAAGCGTAAATTTAACAAATAATTATACAATTTATACAGCAAGTGACTGTACTAAATTATACGAGTTCTAAAATCTAGAAATATTTTATCCAAGAACACTAAATTAAGTTTATTAAATTATCTAAGCTCCCTTATGATTAAATTAAATGGTATTTATGCAGATCTGTAAGAATGAAAGGGTAATTCATATTCAGAAATCGTCCATCAAATTGTTCAAACCTACTGTCTCTCAATAGCCATTTTAACATTTAAACGCCGAGTTTATGAAAATTTTAATATTATTTTATTCTCCAATAGTTTGATATATTTTATGCATGCATGATTTGTAAAAAAAAGAAGATATAAAGAGCTAGCTTAATAGTTCGGCTTTTATTGTGAATTTAACAACGTGTGTATTCCACGTTTCAAGTTCTAGATAAAAATTTATGCGTGAAATAATGGTCAAAAAAGGTTAAAACGCGTCATTTATGGTACTTATACGGTGTTCCGTTAAGGTCATCGTCTATAAATTAAATAATCCTGGATATTACTGTATTGATATTTAACCACACTTCTAAAGTTTAAGACTTAAAAGATAGTAAATACCCATGTACTTTATTGAAGGATTTCCAAAATTGATATGACAATACACCTTAAGTGTTTTGAACGTTGAACCGTGAAATATTTTTAGGACATACTGATATAATAATCGTGATATTATACAGTCAAGTACTAGGTTTTAAACGACCTCAGTGTGATTTGTTTATTCCCCTTATATGAAAAAAACGAGATTTATCTTGAAATAGGAGCCGAGTGGTTAAGGTCGCTGACTTGAGATCACAGGTCCCTCACCGCTGTAGGTTCGATCCTCACTTGGGTCGAAATCTTTCATGTGAGGAAGCCATTCAGCTGGCTTACAGAAGGTCGGTGGTTCTACCCAGGTGCCCGCTCGTGACTGAAATAATGGCCGGAGGGGCACCTGGGGTCTTCCTCCACCAATAAAGCTGGAAAAAAATCGACGAAAAAATATCGGCGGGACGCTCTAGGATGACCCGACTTGAGTGTACGGTCGCCCATATGGCCTTTCCGGCAGCCACCTTAAATAAACGCATTAAGAAAAAGAAAAATAAGAAAAAATTGTCTTTAAATATCGTGTTATTCTTGAATCACAGACAAACATGTGCATAGTGAGGGGAACAATATGTATAAGTCGAACACGATAACGTTTACATTAATCGGTCAAACCATTATGTGCAAGTTATTCAGTTATTACAATTTGCACTTTAACTGCAATAAAGAAGAATAAAATTGAATATAGACACGTAAATCAGAGTAGTGAAGTATTATTATTGTTATTATTATTATTATTATTATTATTATCATTATTATCATCATCATCATAAGCATTATCAATTATAAGTAGTAGTAGCTATTATTCTTTTATTATTATTATTATTTATTTTTTATTATTATCATTATTATTATTATCATTATTATTTTTATTTTTATTATTATTATTATTATTATTATTATTATTGTTATTATTATTATTATTATTATTATTATTATTATTTTTATTATTATTATTATTATTATTATTATTATTATTATTATTATTATTATTATTATTATTATTATTATCATTATTATCATCATCATTAGCATTATCAATTATAAGTAGTAGTAGCTATTATTCTTTTATTATTATTATTATTATTATTATTATTTATTTTTTTTATTATTATTATTATTATTATTATCATTACAAGATGTTAATGATGTTACAATTAAATAATTTATTTTCAATTATGGAACTTGCTATGTATATATAGAGCAAGTTCCGTTAAATGGTGATACTGTTACTTTGAGTAATGTATACGTACAAAGTTATAAGTTACGATTATATAAAACTATTAAGTCTTAGTATGAAAGCGAACAGTACATGTAAAATGATATTACCGCCTTTTCATCAGTTAGCATTTTGTAAATTTTGATTAGGAGTTGCGCCGATTCGTATGGAGACCGGTCTAATGAGGGTCTGAGCATAGAAGATAGAGTTTGTCCTTTTTGTAACGATAATTCAGTTGAAAATGAATTACATGTTTTGTTTAATTGTAAGGTTCATGATGATTTGAGAGTAGATTTGTACTCTAGAGCAATAGAGCATGATAGTTAGTTCTCTGAAATGCATGATTCTGATAAATATACTTACTTGTTTTCCAATAAAGAGCCAAAAATAATAAGATATTGTGCCAAAACCTGTAAAAATGTTTTAGATAGACGTCGTTTTAAACTTTGTAAATAAAACATTACAATAGATGTGGAATGTTTCACACATTTTTTATTACCTTATATATTTTTATTATATGTCAGAAACCTCTTAAATGCATGTGTTTCGATGTTGATATTCGTGCTTTATTTATTTAATGTTGATATATGTTTTACTAGAAATAATTGTTTTATGTCTTTCTTGTATAGTATTTTTACTCCATGCTTAGTTTAGATAAACTGTTCGATTTTAATGTAATTTTTCGCGATGATCTCTTATAATTCCATATGGAATGTCATCGGATTTATTTATTTTGTTTTTAAATATATATGAATGTTTTATCATGTCTATGCAATGATGAGATGTAAATAAAGATACTTCTACTATGTTCCACTACTTTCCGTTAATAAATTCATACGTAGAGCAATTTATTACAAGTAATATATTGGCCGAGCAATTTAACTCTGTGGCTTAAAATCGATTTCCCCTCGCCATTATGGATTCAAATCTCACCAGGTAATTTAGATTCTTCATTTATTTCAGCTATTACGTGATCCCGAAAGTTCTTTTAAAAAGGTCGGTGCTCGCTTATACCTGGAATGACGGTGCACCACAGGTTTTCTTCCCGTTTGTAAAAATCAGGTTGCCGAATGTTTTTATGTTCTTTCTCTTTTGTATCATAAGAAAAAATAAAAACACATTCCCTGATGACATATATAAAATCCCATAAAAAGGTACCAATGAACGAGCATCTGAATATGAAATTTCTATCGCTATCCTTTGTTCTGTCGTCTCGGAAAAACATGAGCCAATCAATGGGCATGCTCTGGAGTGCGGGTAACTTATACCTGCACTTCAGTTAACGCGCTGAGTATGTATGTGTATGTATATGATTTAACTGTGACACATTTTCAACAGAAAGGTCCTCAACTTATGATGAAACATTTAATTGTACTCAAACAAATCAGGTCAGTTTATAGTACTCAAATATGACTCACATACCAGAAAAAAGACACGACTTATATTTGATTATATTTGAGCATTCGCGGGCTTATTTTTCGGCCGGAGGTCGTCTGTTTTCGGTTGGAATTCATATAAAATTTAGAGCAAAGAACTGAATATATGTCAATATTCCATTGGTCATTTTGAAATTACAATCTGAAATACCGGAATCTGATTGGCCAAAAAATAAGTAAAAAAACATAAAGGATTTTTCTGACATGGTATGTACTTCTAATTTTTAATTGATCTAAAGGAGTTCTGGAAACGAACTATCTATCTACATGCATGAATAAGTTCTTCCATGTTTCCTAAGATAAGCAAATAAACAAGTAATTTTAGTCTGGCCAGTATCATTTTAAGATACTTTTTGTTTAATATTTAGTATGTATTAGTGTTTAGCAAATAATTATTTTTTCGCGCAGAAAAAAAATATTTTTATTGAAATTATCTTGTTTGAAGATTAAAAGAGACCGTATATAGTAAAAAAATTATATATATAAGAAATGTTAAACAAAGAAGCCTTTTTAATCATTTTCCCGCTGGACATTTTGTCGTCTGGTATATAGGTGTGAGACAGCAAAGAAAAGATAACATTTATTTATATATTTTTTTAAATGACATAAAGAGAGTTTCCTTCCCAACTCACAATATAAAGCAGTTAAGATGTATATCATTCACATTTAAATGATGAATTGTGGTT